AGATATACACTTTGCTTCACAGATCAGCAAGTTCTCTAATATGCAAGATAGTAAATTTGCTTTGGAAGGAGTACAAGCTGATATATCTCCCTAGATATGCTTTCTGTCGATTGATATGATAAGATATATTTTACTTAAAATTAGGATTGTCTGAAGCTCAGTGGATTTAATTATTTGTAATTATCCAGTTGTTGTCAGTATGTGGCCATTTTATGACAGTGGTATCTACTGTGTGGGTCAGGTTCAACTGTATATCTTTTCAAACACAGAATTAATGTACTATTGATAAAACCATTACTAGAACCAAATTAAAGTCTGGGCTGATGTATTGGTCCACAGGGTGCTGTCAGACATGAAAGGAGTAATTAGTATTCATTACTTCATAGTCTGCAACATTCCAATTATTAATGAACTTCAGCTGCTGGACTGTACCATATCTATCAAAAATATCTTTCTAGTCTTTCTTTATTAGGATGGAAAAAAAATGCCTGACATGACTACTAAAATAAACAAATAACAGAAATGAACCAGAACAACAAAAGTTTTGCATATTTGGTAAAAGTATATTTTTACATATATGCCCCACAAGGGAGACTTACTACATCTTCAGTGAGACAGAGAATGTGAGGTCATATAATGCTGCTAAAATATTCACCAAAAAGAATTTGATTCATATTTGAGTATTTTCATATGCACGTGTGTATGTTCGGAACTCAGTTGTACTCTTGGAAAGCTTTTGCTAAGTAAATGCAATTGCTGTGACCTGTGTCCTTTTCAACTCAACCATTTTCTACTGTTTTAAATTCTTCTTTGTCTCATTCTTTAAGAGATGTCAGACTATTTCTGTAAGGCCAATAKAATTCTAAGTTTCCATAAAGTTTCTCCACTCTGTTTCTCCACCACAGATTTTATAAATCAGACTTTTTCTGGTCTTACTCAGTAGCACTTCAAATGCCATTAAGGAAAAACGCAATAAAAGGAATCATTTTAAGAGGACAATGTGCAGGGTATGGGTGCATCTTCTGGAAGCTTTATGTACTCAAGATTCAGCTGTTGGATAATGATTAGATTTAGTGTTCAGGCACCAAACACCTGAAATTTATGAGCGGGAAAGGAGGGAGAGAGAACTTAGGTGATCTGATCATAACTGCATAGCATTTTTATTTAACATTCCTTTCATAATCTCTCTTAATAGTTTGAAACTGTGCAAGCAGTCTGAAAACTTTGTGACTAAAATTGGAGGCCAATCCAGAACTGCTTTTGGCGGTTATCRACTTTTTATCTTTCTGTATTCTTTATTATTGAAAGTCTAGCTGCTGATGTGATTTTTGAAAATAGGAAGAGGAAGAAGACAGAGGTATTTTCAGGATTCCAAATAAAATCATTTTGACCATAGTCAATAACAGCATTTCAGTTCACAAGGAGAAATATATAGGAAAAAAATTACTCTGCAACCAGAAGTCAACAATGTTTTTTAAAGTGACTCAACTTGTTACAGCWGTATTGAAGACTTAACCACTCATGGAAGTCTTCATGAAAAAGTGATCAAGAGCATGAATAAAACCAGGGCCTAAGTATTAGTTTCCTAACTTTTCCTATCATCATCCCTGACGATTCATATCTAGAACTACCTTAATTAGATCTTAGGAAATATTTTTGATATTTTTCAAATTTGACAGCAAGTTTTCAAATTCTAGATGAAAAACGGTGGTGGTGGAGTAGAAATGGAAGATTCATACACAGGCAACATAGGAGACCAAAACATGTTTTTCTGCTTTCTTTATCACTCATGGTATAGTCTTGGTTAAGACGCATGAATTCAGTCTTCTGTTACCTGATCTGAATTTGAATTACCTACTTGAATAACCAAATTCAAAGCTATCAGAGCTGTAGTCCTGTCAGTGGAAGGGGGAGTTTGGAATAGTTTCTGCAGTAAGGTGTTCAGAGCACTTACATGAGAAAAGGAGCATGTGAGCTTTGGTGCAAGTAGACTAGTTCTATTAAAAAAAAAAAAAAAAAAAAAAAAAAAAAAAAAAAAAAAAACACAAAAAAACAAAACCTGAAGAGCCAGAAGCAGCACTGCCCCTGCCTGGCTGCTTTGGTAAATGCTGGCAGCAAGTTGCTCTGACACACGGAGCATAGGAGGCAATACTGGTGTACAGAATTTCCTCTTCCAGCTGCTCTTTTTTTGACCCGTCTTGTAACTCTCTTTCTCTCCCTCTTTCCCTCTCTCCCTCCTTCCTTCCTTCTTTCCCTCACTCCCTTCTTTCTTTCTCATTAGTCTTTTTCACTTTTTTTAGACCAGTTCCTTGATTTGTCCCATGATATGTCCCAATAGACCATGCAAAGCTGAGGCATGGTTTCCTTAGATTGATATTAGTACTGGAAAACCCTTCAATATCTTCAATCCAAGAAACTCTTCAATCCAAATCCAGTCTGCCAGTTCCCCCACACATGAGGGCAGACGGGGAATAGGGTTTGTTCAGGGGAGAACACAGGATAAATGATAATTGCTTTTTAAAAAAAATAAGGCATTACTATGATGGTTTACTGTACTGTACAATTGTCTGGATTTCATTAAAATAAACTCAGATAGCCCTTCATAGTCCTTAAAAACCTCAAAATGTTTTATAACTTATACAGTTGTTGAAAGATGTTTTTTGCTGTTTGTTTATTGGCAAAGGACCTGAAAATTGTTTTTGCCTTGAATGTGATACACTGGATTGGACTTTTTCCTCTGCTAGAGGCAGCATCCTGTAGACTAACCTATGCAATACTRGCAATGTCATATCATTAGAATTTGCACCCTACCTGTTGAAAAAGTGTTTTGCGCTTCATAAGCAGCACACCACAGCTTCCATTTTATTTCTAAAATAAGTAGCAAAAGGTTCTCTTTCAAGCACCATTTCAAATGGAAAATACCTATAAATAAGCAGCAGCTTTGAGACACTCTAATGTTTCAAGATTTCAAGTAAGGTTAATTCAACAAATACCAATCCCCTATAAAAATTAGGGGAACTTCAGGGCAGTACAGGCAAAAGCCAATTCTTCAGCAGGCTTATACTCTTCCTATCCTAAATGGCTTTTAAGGTCAGTCTCATATTTATTTTTTATCCATTTAATTCCCTCCTGCTGGGGATGTGTCCCTGCAGGCCAGGGCTCACAGTGCATTAGGAAAGTGGCTTTTGCTGCTGATACTCTATCACTGGGCAGTCCGCCGTTATTCCAGGCTGCTATCATGGTGTTACACATGGCAATCAGGTCCAGGTATTTGGTTATAGGAACATGAAGCTTTGAATCAGAAAAGTAYATAACAATCTGTCAAGGCTGCAAAGAAGCAAGACATGATCCAGTGCAATGCATAAGATAACTGGATTGATATAAATTAAAACTTGCTAGGCAGAAAAGTAAGAACCACCCCTTTGGACTGTCAGATGCCAAAGAATATACCAGAAGATGTGAAAAGTAGATATTTATCATATTTATCATGGGTTTTCAAAAAGATATGCTTCCCCTTAAGACATTTATTTCATTAAGTTTAATAAGTTTGGTTAAACTGAAAAAAATACACAGAATAAATTTCAATATATGTAGCTTTAGATATTGCAAATTCAGTGCTCATTTAATGTTCTGGAATATGTTTTCTTTTTCTGAAACATAAATCAGTATTCATCTATACAAAAATCAGAAAACAAGGAGCTATCTAACAGACTCTCCAGAGTCTCTTTCTGGCAGGAAAACTATCCAAACTAAGAAGAGGTATTTCATTAACTGCTCTTCAGTGCAAGCATCTTAAAACGTACAAAGTTAATTTAAAAATTAATTCCAATGTAAAACAGGGATTCCATACTTCACATGCTCAGAGAATAAGCTATATTAATTGTGAGACAATATTGTGATTTGTGGCACACTGGAAAAATTGAAGAAGTAGAAGAGGGTCAGGAGCATTCAGAGTAGTAAGGAGACAGGAACAGCCCAAAGCTTCATGAAAAAAGATAAGGAAGGAAGGGCTAAGTGATATATAGTGGTGAAGATGGTGACAAGAGAATAATCCAATTTGAAAGACAGAACAACAGAGAGAAATTTCATGCTATTCAGACCATAYCATATTACAGCTATACTTTGTAAGCTGTGTGCAGGAAAGATGAATGGCAGCATTTCCTGAAATGCTGATATATGAGGMATGTTTCCAGGAGGCCAGAGTAACACACTGCCACAGCCAAGAAAGGAAATACTGTAGAGAAAACTCTGCATTTTTTTAATCTTATCATGATTTCCTCCATGTATGAAGAAAAGAGGATTTTGTTATTATACTCTTCTTAGAGCTGGAAAACTAAGCAAAATAGAGCTCTTTACACCACTGCACAACCATTTATAGGATTTGCTGTTACAAAGGTGTCAGCAAAGGGCAGAATTTGGTATACTGAATTGGAATGTGAGMGAATTTTCATTTGCCAAAAGAAAATTGTCTTCTTTCCCTCACTTCCCTCAAATGTACCTGCAATCTGAGAAAAGCATATATACTAGAAAACAAATACCGATCTGCAAGGAGTATTTCACAGTCTCTTTTAAACATAGGCTTTTTAAATACAGACCTTTTAAATAAAGAACTCTGTATTCACTGAACTCAGAGATGCATTCATTCTTGAAAGCCTTAAAATGTATAAAATCAATGTCATTAAACAGCTCTCATTTTTATAAATAAATTTCTATATGCACAAAAATAAAGCAAGAGAACAATTGCTAACATTTTTGATATATTTTTCACTTAATTTTTAGAAAATTCATAAATATTTATTGAAATCATTAACTATTCTATTCTGCAGAGGCAGAAATAGAATTCTACAATAACAGCATATTCAAACTCTTCTTTCTTTTATAAAAGGGGAATATAAAATATCCTCAAAGAAAACAGAAGTATATCTAAATAAATATATCTATATAATATATATAGTAAATATATCTAATATATAATATATATAATAAATATATCTAATATATAATATATAATAAATATATCTAAMTATAGTGCTTAGGAGAGTGAATATTCATCTCTTTTTTTCACGGTAAATTCATTAATATGGATGAAGGTACTCCCAACTGCATTCACAAGAGATATCCAACAAATGATGAGTAAAGGATTGTTCCTGTTAAAAGTTATAACAGAGACCTTTAGAATGTAGCAGGTTTGAAGTATTTTAGATATCCAGTTTTTGCTACAGAACTCATTAGAGTCTTCTTTAAATCATCAACTGAAGGCAACAAGACAATAAATCCATTAATTTACAAGAGGGCTTTTTTTGATTTATCCATTCTCCCCTCTTGTTGTCACTGACTGCTAAGTCATAAACAATAAAGAGCACCCACCTCATTCTCCAAAATAGCTTTGAAATTTGAAGATTTACTAAACATAGAATGATCGTCTATTTAAATCTTCAGTAATTTTACTATACCACCCAAGCACCATAAATCACTAGCGACACTGGCTAACAAGGGTTTAAGAGTTTGAACATGCAGTGTAATAAATTTCCAGACAGTTAAAAATCACTATAATTTTATTCTAATGCATTATAGATTGCCTGTAATGTCATCCTGGCCAGGGTGACCCATTTCTAATTTTGAACAGCTGTTCAGCTCGGGAGTTAGTTAATGATTAAATATAAATTGCYTGATTTATTAGTCTGAATGGTTGAGCTTCCAGGTCAATGCTATATAGACAAAATCATCAGTCTTGATGCTTTTCAGAAGTTAACTGTCTCCTGTTGTAGTCAAAAAGAATTTATTCTCAGAGGAAAAGACCTGACATTCTCAATTAATCCTTTTAAATATCTTCTCCCTTAACTTATACAATAAGATCATTAATAAAACCCCTCAAATCTTGAAGAAAAATTTCCTTTAACTGTGTATAAGCCTTCAAGTCCAAGACTTGGACACTGCCTTTGTGCAAAGGTCATTGAGTTTCTGATGACTTCGGGGTCTGCAAAATGCAAAAGTCTCAAATGTGTCTTGGAGAAAATCAAAACTTTTCATGTACAGATAATATAATACCTTAGCAGTTTTGCTGTTTTCCTAGCAAAGGAAAATTATTTATGTACTTTACCTCTCTTGATGTATGGATTTTAGAATAGGTATCATACGATTATCTGATTTAATTGCGTTAGTTTCTTTAGATAGTTATAAATACTGTTTTCCAACCTGATTTTGTGTTCTTGATTGATAACTTCCACCGACAGATTTGCAAAAATAGAATTATTCCTTTTTTGTTCTTGTAAAACAAGACAGATTTTACAAAGTGCAACTTCATATTTAAGAAAAATCAGACCACCTGGGAAATTCATGAAAATGAGTAGTGTGAATACTCTTTGCTGTTTTTAATTTGTGTTATTGTGAAGTCTCTTCTGGAGATCTTCAAAACCTGCCTGGATGTGATTCTGTACAATGTGSTCTAGGTATCTCTGCCTGAGCAGGGGTGTCRGACTAGGTGATCTCTAGAGGTCCCTTCTGACCTCAGCCATTCTGTGTTTCTGTGAAAAAGGAATGGGTAAAATTCTAAGCGATGGACTAAGACAACATCATTTCTACCAAGACTTAAGGAAGACAGCACAGCAATGCTACGGCTTACCTCAATGGTTTTCTTGAAACTGACCATTAAATAGGCATGTGCTAGCTTCAGTCATGCTTTTCTACAAATAAAGATAATACCTACACTGAAAAGACGGCAATTTTAACATAAATGCAATCTAATTGTAATTAAAAAYGGATGGTTTCTGCATAAGGATAAAGAAAAAACAAGGAGCTAATGTGGTTGGTGCCTTCCACTTCTTTACAGCAATGGGGCAGACACAGGACAACTTCACCCTGACCTACAGGATTACTCACTCTTTCAGCTCATTAGCAAGAGGCAGCCCAGGCTGTCAAATGCATTCACAGTTGTGTATAAATGTGGTATCTTAGTCATRGAGATCTTTCTCTAGGGACCATGCCAATTCAGGCCACTCAGTAGCACACATTTTTTTTTGGCAAGTGCAGGTAGTATCTGTCATTTCCAGTGCAGTACATTTCATTTCCCTGGATTTTACGATGGGTTGGTTTTTATTTATTTTTAAACTATCCTCCCTGCATTGATTTAAATCATTTTTCAGCAAGGGCATGTTGTCATTCCTCACTCCCTTGCTTTTTCCTTTTACTCTGTTTTTAGTAATCTTTTAGGCTTAACCTAGAATTTAACCAGTTTATTCTAAGTATTTCAAAACTCACTCTGGTAAGAACATTCAGACAAAATATTCTTACCTCAAGTTCTGTCAGTAGTTATGTTTGTGTGGTTACCATCATCTTGACATCAGAATTCCCCTGCAATCGTTTTCCTGAATGAAGCCATGAGCTGACACATATTGCAATCCAGATCCTATTCAAAAAAGGGATGGGTAAATTACAGTTTAAGTTATTTGTTCATATATATGTTAATAGTAATATTTTTACAGCCTCTTTCAGACTGAAGGATATGAAACTTTGAGGAAGGATTGTTGTACTCTTAATTCTGTCTACAAATCTACCACAAATTAGAACAAAACTCTTACTAAATACCCATTTCAACAGTGGAAATCAGGTGCTCAAAGATAATTTTGAAACAGGGCATTTCTGTTTGATGATAATGACAATATAGCAGGATCTAATGGTTCCAGACAAAGTCAGAAGTTTTTTGGACCAGATTCAATACAAACGTTTGAGGACATTGTAGTTACGTCTACGCATACTAAAGCATTTAAGAGAAAAAAAACCCACATAGTAAGTAAATTCCTTCTGGTAGGACACCTTAGCTCCTGAACTCAAAGAAAAAACATTATTAATAATGACGCAAAGAAATGTTTGCTCCCCTATGCTTATTAATCTGAAGCACCTTGGGAGTTCTGTGGAGATAAGGACATTAGCCAATCATCCTTTAGTCTGCAGTCTCTGTCACTCTTGCCATGCCACTGACATTTTCCTGATCTGCAGATTTTTCTCCACGTTATCTTATTTAAGCAGTTAAGAAAACATGTAGTTGTAAGATAAAAYAATTTGAAAAGGTTTCTGTTAATGCCTACTTGACTAAAATAGTTAAGCAAAGCTTAGAATAAGAGATATAGTCACTGTTGAAGACCATTCAACTCCCCTCTTCTTCTGAAAAAGTTTAAGATTAAAATTAAAATAGTCACAGTTCAAAAATGCTAACCACTAATCCAAAAAGGTGAAAAAATCAGAAGTTTTTTTCTCCTTGTATATATGTCCTTTTTCCTTGTAAAACCTTCAACATATTGCTTTTATTTATCAAGAAGAACAAAAACAACGAAAACATTTTTCTCAGTTTTCTCACTTACCAAGAAGATAAGTTTTTACATTCTTCCTAATTGTCAGAAGAAAAGAAAGTGCTTTTCTGAGCAACCCAGAAAGTCCTATTGAAAAGAAAGATGTTAAAGTCAGGCATCTGGGTGGTGGAAGCTATGATGTTAACATCTTAAAAAATATTATTTTTGCAATTAATCAGGTAAGACAGAAATCAAATGCAAGAGCAGAACTTGGAAGACTATTAAAAGAAAGCCCAAAACACAGAAACAAGACAGATTGTGGCTTGCAAGTTTCCAGTGCTTGAATTGGTGATGTTCAATCCAAAATTTTTAAAATAAGCATATAATTAAAAATGAGTGGCATGATGCAATAGTAAAGGGGGAAAATATGAAACTACAAATTAGAGTTCCTTGGGAATAATGGGACAGCCAATTCACTTTTTAATGGCGATACATTTAAATTGAGAAGGTAAAGGCTGAGTTCTTTTCATGAAGCAGACTGACGGAGATCTATTATGAATGAGTGTAAAAATGAATCAACATAGAAATAGTTCTTTTTTTTTTTCCTCTCCTTTTCTGCATGCAGAAAATAAAAGAAAATAAAGGACCTGCTATTTCTACACATCTCAGGTTTGTCTGTGTGATAATATACACCCGACAGAGATGTAATGCTACAGAGTTAAACCATAGGATGCTGCTAGGGAAACAAACAGGAAGCTAAAGAATGCCAAAACAGCACTAGCAAAAATGGGAGGGGAAAAAATGGAAAATGCTAATGTTTGCCTAGACTGAAGCAGCTAGCGGGTTAGTTTTTCTGAACCTCTGCTTTAAAATAAAGGACACACATTCACCAAAGATTCAAAGACAGTAAGGGTGGTAGGAATATTCTTCTGGAGGCATGAGCATCTGCACTATAGTCTTCATTGTATAGTGCAACTCCAGCTACTAGGAATAAACTCTTGTGCTTTAAAGATGGAATTCTGTTTCCTTTTTGATCAAAATATTTGGAAAATAATTCTGCTCTTGAAGAAGAAATCTATTTTTTATTTTCTAACCCATTCCTCACTCCTCACTCTAACTGGGTAGAAACTGTTGGACTAGATAGACAAACATATGTGCTTGTATTTTAAAATTTTAATCTGCAAGAAACCACACGGAGGTATACTTCAGTTGTCTTTAAAACACTGGAATTATATAAAACGATGTACTGTATTTGTACCAGTCTCTATATTTTTGACATTTTAAAAAAAATTACTGCAATAACATTAATTAATGGTTTATCTGTATTTGACAAGGGTTTTTTAGTTAGATAAAACCTGGAACCCATTAAAAGAGAAAGCAGGCTAGTTCACTGTGTTATCTAGGCTGAAGTTTTATTATTGCTTATTAACATCTGCATTGATTATCATTACAGAACATAGCCAGCCATGAAAACTTCCATATGAAAAACAAGTACAAATATCTCTATATCTCTCCACCAAAATAAATAGATAAATAAATAAATAAATGAAAGTTGCATTGAGGGTCAAGGGGCATAGAACATCCATGAATGGAGGAGGAGAGAKCATTAAAAACTCATCTATTTTTTCTATAATAAAAAGCCCCTATTTTTAGAAACCTGGGGAAAGAGATGAGAGTCCTATTGCTACCCAGAATTTGCAAGACATTTAGATGAACTCTGATGGTTTTTCAAAGTTCCTTTACAAAGAATTTCATTGCAACAGACTTTTGAAGTGAAATTTTTGGAGACATAGCAGAATCACTGACATTGGAGGCTTATTCTGACATAAGATACAACATGTAGACTGTGAGACACAACATGTGGACATAGAATTTTCCAAAAGAAATAATAAGCTCTAAATTTTTTTTTTTTTTTTTTTCGTTCTTCGTTAGTTAATAGATGGATTAAGATCTCCTTTATGGAAGTTTTCAGAAGTTCTTGCTCAACTTCAAAATTGTTTTCACATCTCTGGATATATCATAGATAAAAATCAAATCACTTCTTCATTTCTTCAGATTTATGGACTCAATCTTAACTCTTTTACAAGAAAATAAATGCAAGATTTCCTGAGTAAGACTCTACGTGCAGCAGATTTAGTATATCATCATACCAGTTGTCTTAAGTGCTAGGAATGTAAGCACAGTTGATTTMCACACTGCACAGAGAAGTGTTTCTTTTTTATTCTTTTACTGAAGTGCATCCCCTTGTGAAGTATTAATGCACCGAATGAGTTTCTTTTTTTGGATTATAAGATCATGTGGGCTACAAGGACCTTTGCAGGTCACTGGGTCCAACTGCCAGCTCAAAACAGGGCTAATTTGAAAGTTAGATTAGTTTGACATAATTTTTACTTGATTATGTCCAGCTGTATTTTCCCTTGTTGCAATCTGTGACTCTTGCTTCTTGCCTTTTTGTTATCCTTTTATTTCATAATGTCCATTTGTTTACTGACTAGAGAAACCAAATTTCAACCTCCAATATATTTTCACCCCAAATCAGTCTTATTACCTAGCTTTGAATCCCAGCTAATTCTTTATGGCCTTTCCAAGCCAAAATAGAAATTTCTACACAGTAGCTTTCTCCTGAGGCTGTGCACTGAAGCTCTCTAATGTGTTCTGAACTGGGTTTCATCCCATTCCTAATAAGCTGAACAGTATTTTTTTTTTTGGCAGTTGGTTTTAGAAGTCTTCTTCAAATAGTTCACAGTCRGCCAGATGTTCCTCCCTGGGCTAATAAGCAATAAACAGTCACTAAGACTTATTTATGAATAGTCACATTTTTCCTTCCAATATGTAGGATTTTGCATTTATCAGGAGTGAATTTCACCAGCTATAGTGTTCTCCATTCAATAGTTTCATGAGCTCTGGGCTTCACTGTTGTTACAACAACGTAGTTATGACTCCTTAAAAACATTCATAAAGTTGATCATTTACTGTAAGAATCAGTTATAAAAATAACAGTTTTAACTGAAGCCTCTGGCTTTGTAAAAGGAAGCCTGGCTGAACAGGCATGATGGATTTTATAGAGTCGTTAAGAAAAGTATTCATTACAAATGACAACTTGACCACTGTTGCCCTAACACAGGAAAGAGCTAACTGCAGAGGAACCATAATTTAATCTGTGGTGCAGAATTCTTCCTACTAGGAGTTCAGCATAGCTGAGAAAATAACTCTACTCCTAATGACCCGTAGAAAAATCCACAAAGAAATGGAAGAGGAAATAAATAAATATAAAAAGACAGTGCTAGATTTACAGTTGGAAACTTAATGAATGACAGAATATTTCAAATATGAAAAGGTTATATTAATTGTTGTCAGTATGGAATGGAAAACCATAGGTGGTGTTCTCTGAAGGATAYGTTAAAAAATAAATAGAGGACATTGCGAGACTCAGGGGTGATTGCTCTATATAAAAAAAACACTAGAAGACTATTTTTGTACAAGAAGTACTTGTAATTCTTAATAAATATACATATCTCAAAATAAGTCATAAAAGAAAGGAAAGCTGTGTGGTTGGACTAGATGATCTCCAGAGGTCCCTTCCAACCTTAACCATTCTGTGATTAAAGTGGAATATTTGGAATATTATCTACGGATATGTTACATGGTGCTAAAGTCAGTTATACTTGGTCAGTCTTTATATTTGTACCTTACATTGAATAACTTTTCATGCAAACATTTCATGATAGGCCCTGCTTAACCAAAGTTAAATTACAGAGAAAGGGGATACTGCAGTGATCAAGATGTTAATAACTGGATCAAGCAATATGCACTGGYAGTAAGAAGTCCCTATAATAATTTAATTTTTAAATTTAACTAATTAAAATTTAACTAAYTTGCATCATTGTTTGGGGGCATTTTCCATGTAACACTTATTATATGGGACATATATAGACATTATCCAAGGAGAGAACAAAGATTAAAAATCAACATGTAGCACATTATAAAGAACATGTTACTAAAAAAGTTTAATCTTTTTCATATCTCTCATGAAAGGCAAGTCCAAAACAGTAGTTGTGGAAGTTTTAGGATGAAATTTCCAAAGGCTATTGGTTGACATTTTAGCCAAAACATATTTCTAAAATTAAATATTGCATACTGGTTTGGCTTATATTTTCCCTACACAAGGTTGAGACATAAGTTACTAAAATTAACTTAAAAGGAAAAACATTTAAATATATAACCAAGATACTCTTTCACAGTTATTAAGAATGTAAGTATGTGAACACATTGTGGTTCTTACATGACCGTGTATTCTTCATTCAAGTCACACAAAACTTACTCTGTATCTGTTTTTTTCTTATGCGTAGTTGAAGCTTGTTGATGCACAATGAAATCAGACAAGCTCATTTTTCTTAAGGAGGAAAAATTAAACAGAACAAGTGGCAGATAAGCTGTACAAAGGTTCCTCAAATTTACTTCCTCTCACAAAAAAAAAAAAAAAAAAAAAAAAAAAGGGGGGGGGGGGCCGACGAAGAAGCATTGCATTTTTCTCTTTAGAAATTTATTTCCATTCACATCAGTAATTCCTACAGTATAAAGCTCTTAAATGATGGCTAAATTGCTAGAATGGCTAGACGACGGCTAGAAAGCTGGAAGAAGCGTGTCCTTTTGTGCGCCCTTAGCACTCAGACCATGAGCATAGTGGCTCAAATATACCACGTAAATAAAGAGTGTACTTCAGCTAGGTTTTGGTAAATAGAGAATTCTGGTTCTGGATCTTTGATCCATCTTCAATTAGTATCAACTGCAGATGTACACCATGCACTACTTGTTTTCTTTCTTTGATGGGATAGGCCGTTGTGTTAGAAGAAAAACACATGCATCTTTATCTGTAAAGCACCCTGGATATGCAAAGGGCATGCAAACTACTAGCAAAATGAGAGCAATGTTAGGGCCTACTACTTTAAAATCTGAACAGAGTGACACTCATAGTCAGATTCCAGTYGATTACTGTACAGATATGTAACTTCCACAGATATGGGACATCCAAACTGACTCAACTTTTCTTCATGAATCWGATCTAAAGTGACTTCCATCCTTCTTAGGTAATACACCACACTAAGGCCATACCTACAAGGCCTTAAGGCCTCTACTGCC